CCCTATCCCCTTTTTTCTGATTAAACTGTCAGCTCTTTGAGAGCAGGAACGTAACCCTTGGGCCTCAGAGCTCGGTAATAATAGTAGATCACGTTAATTGAGTGCTTGCTGCGTGCCAGGCACCTCGCTACACGTTTTAGTGAATTATCTTAGTCCTCACAACAGCCTTATGAGGTAGATAGTATTTTAACGCTCTGTATTATAGATCAAGAAACAGTCTAGAGAATTAAGTTGCTTAGGGTCACAGACCTAGCAAATGACAGAGGAGGCCTGTCTGCTGCCAAAGGCAAAGGACACTTAACCATTACTTTGCTACCTGTGATGTTTGTGCTCAGTGATACTATGTTATAGTCAACATAAGCAGACTGGAAGTTAGGAGACCTGGCATTTCTCCCTTTCTGGGCCTCAGTTTTCTTATTGATTTTTTTTAAATGGGGTTTCAAAGAGATAATCTGAGAGTGTTTGACAGCCCTGAAGTTCCTAGTTTGAGAATTGGTACAAGAGCAGAAGTTCTGCTCTCCATCCTTAAAGAGCTCCTAGTCTGGTAGGAAGGCTGAGACTATGCTGCTTCAGCAGAAATGCAGGCAGTGTGAGGGAGGAATCATGGAATAGTTTTGAGAAGAGGCAAACACCCCAGCTGCAGTAATGAGAAGAGTCTTTGTGGACTGTGTAGTTGAGGTGGCGTTTTCCCCAGGTTTTCATCAATTCCTATTCCTTGGAAGAGGAAACTTCGCCTGCACCTTTCTCAAGGTTCTGCAGGGAGCCCTGCTGGGGGATGACATCCCTTACAAGCCCAAGAGACTGGATGTTGGGCTGGCTGCTGCCTTCTCCATTCCTTTGTTAAATATGCCTTTTCCTTCCAGCCACTGTCAGACCACGGAATGATGTGGCCCGCAATCAGCTCTCAGCTTTTGGAGAATATGTGGCTGAAATCCTGCCCAAGTATGTCCAACAAGTTCAGGTAATATTCACTACTGTTGTTTGGGTCTGAGTCAAGAAAGAACCATGTTCTCAGGGCTTGTGGGATTGGGCTGCCTGATTTCTGAGAAACCACAGACTCCTCCTTCCCAAACTTGGGCTTCTTTCTCTGCCTTAGACCAGGAGACTCCAGTGGAAGTTAGCTGTTCCCTCAGTTGCTCTTTGTTCCCTCTCACCTCCCTTCCATGTATGCAGGTATCCTGCTTCAATGAGTTAGAGATCTGTATCCATCCTGATGGAGTCATCCCAGTGCTGACTTTCCTCAGAGATCACACCAATGCACAATTCAAGTCCTTGGCTGACTTGACAGCAGTGGACATCCCAACCCGGCAGAACCGTTTTGAGGTCAGTCAAGAGATTTGAGGTTTGGGAAGTAAGGGTAGGATAGGGGACAAAAGTTTCAGAGTGACAGCTACCTATGGGAACCATAACCTCCTTAGTTTCAGTTTGTGTCAAACAGTAGAGCATAGCAGTTAAACTTCAGAATCAAGTAGACCTTAAGCTTGAATCCTGGCTGTCACTAACAGGCTGTGTGATGTCAACGTTTTGTTTGATCTTTCTGAGCCTTAGTGTTCTTATCTGCAAAATAAGCATAAGGTTCCTATTTTATAGGGTGGTTGTAAGGATCAAATGAGGTAGTGCAGGTAAATTACTAGTACACATTAAGTTCTCAATATATTTAGCTATTGTTATTTACTGGTCATCTATATGCCAGTCCCTGAGATCAAGAGAGAAGTAACCCAATATCTGCCCTCCAGGAGTCCCTCACATTCTAGTGAGGGAGAAAGACACAGAAACAGCTTACAATAGTAACATAATACATAGGATGTTAGAGGGATGCTTTCTTTAAGAATGCAGGTGTGGCGTTTAGCCTTGTATGGGAAGCTTCTTTGAAGAGAGCAAATGTTTGTGATGAATCTTAACAGATGAGCAGACCAGGAATTAGCCAGGGGGAGAGGGTGGGCAGAGAGATATCCCAGACAGAGGGAGTAGTATGAGCAAAGACAGGCATGCTGAGCTACAGCTGTGGCCTGGGCCTTTGGAAGTAGTTGTAAGTTTAGGGGCAACTTCAGGTTTTAAGCTTCAGAACAGAAGGCAGGGTCACATGTTTGAACCCTAGCCCACCCTGTATCCTCACAACTGATGCTCCCACCCAAGGACTCTTACCCCAGACCCGTCAACCTATGGCCATCTTGATCCTCCAGCTCCCTCTGTTCTCCCTAGATTGTTTACAACCTGCTGTCTCTGCGCTTCAACTCACGGATCCGTGTGAAGACCTATACAGATGAGCTGACGCCCATTGAGTCCAGTGTCCCTGTGTACAAGGCAGCCAACTGGTATGAGAGGGAGGTGAGTTACCAGATGTGGTGGACCCTGCCTCTGGGCCAGAGCTGTGGAATTGGTTGAAACTATGGGATTCAGTGCAGCCACTCACCCCTGTTGTTGGCCCTGATGGACTGGTTGCTTGTGGCCTCTTTTCTAGATCTGGGACATGTTTGGAGTCTTCTTTGCTAACCACCCTGACCTAAGAAGGATCCTGACAGATTATGGCTTCGAGGGACATCCTTTCCGGAAAGACTTCCCCCTTTCTGGCTATGTTGAGGTAGGAGACTTGGAACTGGAACAGCAGCCTCAGGGAGGGACTTGTAGGGAACCTGGGGGATCCTGTGCATAGATGGTTTGTGGATTGTGGTGGTTTAAGAGCATAGGCTCTAGATTCAAATCTTAGTTTCACTTCTGTAATCTGGGGCAAATTATTTAATTTGACTATGACTCAGTTTCCTCATCTGTAAAATGGAAGCAATAACAGCACTTAAGTGGTGGATTTGTGGTGAGCATTAAGTATGTAAAGACTAGTATATTGTAAATGCTCGACTGATGCTAGCCATTACTGTTATGATCATTTTAATGATCAAGGCAGACAGTCTGTCCCCAAGACCTGAAAGCAGAGAATTATTTTACCCTGCTCTGGATCTCTGGGAATGCAGTTGAAAGGGAAGGCACTAAATGTTCAGCTCTCAAGAATGAGGGCTGTCTGGTTAGCTCATTTGGTTAGAATGCAGTGTTGTAACACCAAGGTCAAGGGTTGAGATCCCCATACTGGCCAGCCACCAAAAAAAGAAAGAATGGCTAGAGGCAGGATCAGTAACTTGTGACAAGTCCTCATGAAAAATTTCAGTGGTGCTACAGGTTGTTTATTAGCAAGAAGATCATCTATTATATACATACACACATGTGAATTTTGTAAAGTAACTTTTTAGGAATGTTGATATGTGTTATTCCAGCCCTGCTCCTTTGTACCTGAATGCTCCTGTTTTCTTAGTGCTTTCCATGCTCCCATTTCTTTCTCATGCTACTTCTGGTCAGTGCTACTTCCCTCTCTTTTCCCTTTCACTTAGCCCTGCTGTCTCCCTTACCTGGTTTGCCTCTTCACTCCAGCACCTGGTTATCCTTTCCTGATCCAGCTAATCCTCCAATAATAAGAACAGCCATACCATATGTACTGCTTTAGATCTTGACAGTGATAATCCCAAGGCCACAGGGTTTGAAGTACGCCTGCCAGTTTAAGTTTACTCTTTTCAGCTACTGACTGCTCCCTAATCTTGGGCAAATGCTTACTATTATCTTATAGGAGTGTGTGGGGGTGAGCAGAGTCAGTTCTGTTGGAAAAGGGTTCAGAGCTTATGATGTGGTGGTGGGCAGAGGAGTCTGACCCAGTCCAGCAGGGAATGAGAGGTAGAGGCCATTTTGGGATCCCATACTAGCTGGTTGGGAAGTGGCCTGGTAGGTACCACAGATGTGGATGGAGACTTATTGACAGAGGCTGGGACAGGAGTCAAGGACAGAGAGGGACAGGAACTGGGCACCATGGCCTTGTGAAAGTGGGCTCCTTACTGACTGTAACAAGGCCTTCCTCAGTACTCAAGCCTGCCTTTTGCCCTGCAGTTACGCTATGATGATGAGGTGAAGCGGGTGGTGGCTGAGCCAGTGGAGTTGGCCCAAGAGTTCCGAAAGTTTGACCTGAACAGCCCTTGGGAGGCTTTCCCTGCCTATCGCCAGCCCCCTGAGAGTCTCAAGCTTGAAGCCGGAGACAAGCCGCCTGAAGCCAAGAAGCCTGAAGTCAAGTAGTCCAGGGAAAGCATGTGGATCCTAGAAAGCGCCTTATCTATAATTGAGTGTCTGTGTAAATAAATTCCTACTTAGACTCACCACTTCCTGTGCGCTTATAACGGGTAGAAGTGACACTCTCATCTCACCCAGACATCCACAGGGTTCCATAAACCAATAGTCAGGGCCAGGAAGAACCTCAGCTCATTTTTGAGTCTTAGACACTATGTACTACTCCCTGCAGCCTCATAGCCCATCACACTTGGGCTAAGGGAATCTTCCAGTTCCTGGCCTGAGCTAGGAATGTTGTTAGCAAATAGAGGGGGTCCAGGGCTGGGGCAAAAAAGTACTAAGGAGCTGCAGATTTGTCTGTCTACCCACCCCAGCTGGTCTAGGATCTGTTCACGCTGTGGCTGAATGCCTGAGATGGGAGTGCTCTGCCTGTCCATGGGCCATCCAGCCCGCCCACCATGCATTTGGAGGACCAGACTTTGCAGCTGACGCTCTTGGCTGCTCTGGGGCTCCCTGGAGGCTGGGCTGGGCTGGGCTGGACTGGGTGTAGGGGCTGGTCTCAGTTACAGGATGTTTTGAGGGTGAGGACAGATAGTAGGTAGTGTTACTCCCTGGGCTTGAGAGGGCCAGGCTAGAGCTGTTGGCTACCAAACACCTTTTTCCTATTATCTAAGCATCCTGCCCATCTGGGCAGGAACAGGCTGAGAGCCTGACAAGCAGGGAGCCAGGCTCCTGCCAACAACCAAAGATTCCCACTTCCAAGGGATGGAAAGAGTGCCCGGGAGGTGACGGAGGCCACGGCCAGCCCTTCCCTGGCCAGCCCCTCCCTGTTCAGCATTGAAGACTGACGTAAAACGGAACACTGGGGCAGCCTGCAGTGGAAAGTTGAAGCCGGGGTGTGTGGCAGGCAGATGAGGGAGCCGAGAGCTGCTGGGGAGAGAGACTCAGACGACGTGGTGGAGAATGGCTGCAACACTGCAGTTCTTGGTTTACCTAGTTGTAGCTATTTGCCTCCTTCTCCCTGGGGTTACTACAACCCAGCACCATGCAGGTACCGGGGCTTCAGGATGGGTGGATAGAAGCCAAGGAAAGCTGTTGGGTTGACAGCAGTTACAGTTGGCCCTATCTGAGCCTAGCAAGGCAGAGGAAATGTGGGCATGATGGGTACCAGGGTGACATGTACTGCAGTGGGTAATGGTGTGGGCCCCATCCCCAGAACTGGAAAGGTCCAGGTGAAGCCTAGGGAGATAGCCCTAGGTGCTCTTAATGCTGGCCCTGGACAGAGCAGGGCCCTGGGCTTATTCCAGCTGATGCTCAAAGCAAGGTCTCTTGACCTTCCCTGGGCTTGGGACAATCATTGCAAGAACTAGGCAACACCCCAGGGTGTGGGATAGAGGAAGCTGCAACAGAGATTCTGTCCTGCCCGGTCCTCCCTGCCTTGCACAGGATCCACTACTGAGGAGGAGGAGGGAAAGAATAAATTCTTCCCAAAGAACTCCTCATCCTGTGGGGAGGGTCATTGGCACTATTTTAGGTCACACTGACCCCAGATAATTATAGGGAAAGGAAGGGGGAGGGGAAGGGTCTTGTGACCCATGGGGCCTGGAGCTCTTTACCAAGGGCATTGTGAAAGTTAAAGGAGTCCTGGGCATTTGCCAAGATGGTAATCAGGCTTGGGATGATGCTTTTGGGGTCACAAGGCCCATGCCTGGGAGGGTGAATGTCAATGTGCATGTGTATGCATGTGGGGGACAGGAGGGAAGCATGGCATGGCTTTCCTGCCCTTTTGTAGATAGAACTACTAGGGACCCCTACCACACAGCTGAGGGGCACTTCTGGGAGGCTGGGGCATTCAGGGTGGAGCACAGCAGGGGCCTGACTCCTCTCTGCTGCCCCAGGGCAGCCCATGGACAGCACCAGCGTGGGAGGTGGCCTGCAGGAGCCAGAGGCCCCGGAAGTGATGTTTGAGGTCTTTCCTCCCAGCCTGGGACATGGGGGTGGGAGTGTCCCTAAGCTCAGGGCTGGGAAGAGGGATGTCTTAGGGTGTCCTTGCTGGCGGTCGGGCGGGAGTGGGCAACCCAGCATGGTCCTACTACCTGCTTATGCCCCCCCCGGCCCACTCTTGCTCCCTGCCCTGCTCCCCAGGCCACAGCCCACCCCTTACGTGGCTCCCTTTACAGCTGCTCTGGGCTGGACTGGAGCTGGATATCATGGGGCAGCTGCACATCCAGGATGAAGAACTAGCATCCACACATCCAGGCCGCCGACTCAGGCTCCTCCTACAGCACCGGGTGCCCAGAGACTTGGAGGGTGCTGAGCAGCAGCTGAAGCAGCTCCAGAACCTGCGGAAGGGGCCTCCTCTCAGCCCTTGGGACTTTGAACACATGCTCCTCACAGGCCTGTCCTGTGTCTACCGGCTCCATGCAGCTAGTGAGGCTGAGGAGAGGGGTCGTTGGGCCCAGGTCTTCACCCTCCTGGCACAGGAAACACTCTGGGACCTGTGCAAGGGCTTCTGCCCCCAGGACCAGGCCCCTTCGCTGGGGCCCTGGGCATTGATCCTTGACCCTTTCCCCTGACCCTTCCTTTTCAGCTGCCATTCACCCCTCCCTTATAACCACGGCCCCCTCCCCCCAACCTGAGCCAGACCCATCCTAGGCAGGGTCTTCCATCTGGCACCAAGTTCTTCCCACTGTGTTCAGATCTTTGGGTTTGGCTTGCACCCAGGACACCCCTTTCTCTCCTCCCTGCATCCCCTCTGCTTAATCCTACCCCATCAGGTTCCCTGGACCCTGATAGGCCAGGCAGCAAGTACAGTAGGCGCAGAGCTACAGGCAGGACTTGCAGGGTGCGTGCGTGTGCGCGCTCGCTGGGTCAAGGGTCAGGGTTGAGAAATGTGTTTAAGAAATGCTAAAAGGAAGGCCGGCCGATAGGGATGGCGGGTTAGCTCACTTGGGAGAGCATGGTGCTGACAACACCAAGTCAAGGGTTAAGATACCTTACTGGTCATCTTTTTAAAAATAAATAAATAAATAAGAAATGCTAAAAGGAAGGCCGGCCGATAGGGATGGCGGGTTAGCTCACTTGGGAGAGCATGGTGCTGACAACACCAAGTCAAGGGTTAAGATACCTTACTGGTCATCTTTTTAAAAATAAATAAATAAATAAGAAATGCTAAAAGGAAAGCTGCACCTAAGTAAGACCAGGTCAGACCCTCCCAACTCCTACCCTGGCAGTCTGTGAGAGGTCCTGTGGAATCTGTAAGTGCTCAGCACCCAGTTCTAATTTAGATACCCCTTAAGATCAACCAAGGCTCTGGGGTCCCTACGCCTCCAAGTTCCCCACCTGGGTGGGAGAACAGATTGGACTTTTTGAGTTCTGTCTGTTGGAGGAGTGGAGGGAAGCAGGTGAATGAACACTACTTCTTTCGGGGGAGGGAGGAGAAAAACGTCTGGGTCCATCTTAACCAGACTCCAGAGCCCCAGAAGAGGGAGTAAGGCTGGGAGAGGACCCACGGAGAGAGAGACAAGCTGAGGTGGGCTGGGGTGGGTGTAGCCCTGATTCTGTGTAGCTCTTTCCATAAACTGTTCGGTCCTGGCCTCCTGGAGCTTGTGTCATTCTGTCAGAGTAAGTAACCCCTGCCCTGACCAAACCACCCTCCCCACCCCGGGCGGGCAGGTCAGGGCAACCAGGTATCAGCTTCCCATTCCATTCCCACGCCCTCCTGGAAGAAGTAGTGAATCCCATGTCCCCAGGGGGGTGGCGGGGCGGTGCCCTTGTCACAGAAAGGACTCAGCGGGTCTTAAGAATGAGGTCGTAGGTCAATGGAAAGGAGTCAGACAGAGAGGCCCACCAAGGGTTATGGATGGTTCAAATTCCCTCCTCGCCCTCCCCTCCCGGGGCTGACCGAATCCTGCCCTCGGACTTGCGACCCCCGCTTCGGGCCTGAGGGCCTCAGTGCCTTCCCTTCCCGCCCCGGGGCCAAGGCGTCGCAGGCAGGACAGAGCGCGGGAGCTCGGCTGACAGGCGGGCGAGGCGCACTTTATTGGCAGAGTGAAGCCGGCGGGGCGTTCGGGCCGCGGACCGGCTCGGCATGAGCGCCCGCGGCCCTCCGGGCTCCTCTCCCGGCCGGGCTCAGAGCTCCGGAGGCCCGAGGCCGGGCGGGCCGGCGGGGGCGAGGTCGGGGTACACCAGGAAGCCGGAGAAGGTGATGTACTTGCCGTGGTTGCTATAGGCGCCGTAGCCATCGTGGTCGTGGCTGAGCAGCCAGACGGCGTCGCCGCGCCTCAGCGCCAGCATCACGCTCTGGCTCTGCATCTCGCGGCGCCGCGACGCGCCGTCGTCGTAAATCATGGCCTGCACCTCGTCGCGGTTCTTCATCAGCTTCACCGACAGCGTCTTGCGCGGCAGCTTGCCCAGCGTGAAGGAGAAGAAGTAGGCGCCCGGCAGGCGGCAGCGGAACACGCCTGCCGCCGCGTCGAAGTCGCCGCCGATGTTGACGAACTCCGTGTCGAAGGCGAGCGGCCGGTGCCGCGGCCCGGGACCCGCGTCCGAGCCCACCAGGCTGCGCGTGCGCGCCGCCGAGAAGGCCGACCTTGCCGGCCGTGAAGGAGAAGAAGTAGGCGCCGGGCACGCGGCAGCGGAACTGGCCCGTGGCCGCGTCGAAGTCGCCCCCGATGTTCACGTACACCTTGTCGAAGGTCACCGCCATCTCCGACGTGCCCTCCAGCGGGGTGGTGCGTGCCGCCGAGAAGGCCGAGCGCAGCTCGGAAGAGCCGGAGCTGGGGGCCGGGCCCAGGGCCCAGCAGGCGGCCGGGCCCAGCAGGCCCAGCAGGAGCGGCAGCATGGCCTTGGGAGAAGGAGAGGAGGGTTGGACAGAGGCCGCCTCCTCATGCCTGGCCCTCCGGGACTGGGAGACGTGGGTTCTCTTCCCAGCCCTGCCCTTGACCCACAACTAGGTCTCGGTTTTCCTACACTCTGGATGTTATTAAAACACATAGTTGGGCCCGTCCCCGGAGTTTATTCAGTAGGTCTGGGATGGCGCCCGACAATTTGCATTTCTAAAAGTTCTCCGTGATGCTGATGCTGCCAGTCTAGGAGCTACTCTGAGAGCCATTGGATTAGGCTAGTGATTCTCCCAACTTGTTTTTTTTTTGTAAGGACTGAAACCCTTTTCTCAAGTGAAAGCTCGCACACCTATTCACACATGTACCACAGGCAAGCAAAAATAGGCTGGTTGATGGGGCCGGCCCGTGGCTCACTCGGGAGAGTGTGGTGCTGATAA